CCATAATGAATTCCTTAGTACATGGAATCATTTCACCATCCAGACAAGAGAAAAGTATCTTAGCATGAAGTGTTGTTCCTTTGAAAGAAAAGATCTCAAAAGACATGAAAGAATGTCTAAGAAGTTTCATGTTCTTAATAGGATTGACGATGTCAACCTCAAATAAGTATAGTTGAACTATCTTCCAGAACCTCTTGACAGTAGGACTTCATGTATGTTATTTCAAAAAAATATAACGCTTAATCAAGGATTATTAGAAGAAATATATCAATCTTCACTTCTAGCCTTCAAAAAGTGAAATCACCAGAAGTTTGGCAAACAACTACAAGAACAAAGAAACCTTCTTGGGAAGGCCTGTGACAATCAAAACTCTCAATCAAGTGCAAACATAAAAAGTGTGGATGCTCATCTAGCTTCGGTAAAGAAATTTTTTGAAACAAATGGCGCAATATATACCCCAGTTATCTAGTGGAGAGAAAATGAGAGGAACAAAAGTTTGTATGCTCTAGAGTGAAAAGAAAGCGATATAAATCTATTGTTTGATCTTTAAGAGTTTTAAATTGGTTGTTTATAGTGGATAGAGAAATTAAATAATAATGATATTGTTGTAAATAAAAAATAATGTTTACGCTATAGATGTTTTTTTGGAAATTTTTGAAAAAGAAAATAAACATAGAATACTGAAATGTTTTTGTAAATATTTGGAAAAGCTAAGGTTTCTATTGGAAAATGACAGAATATAATTACAAAAAGGTTATGTTTGCATTTAACTTGAAAGTTTGAGTTTTTTTTTGCAATAAAAAAAGCTCCAACAATATATCAGTAGTTACTATTTCAAATTGTTGAACGTGAATTTTACTGTTATATTCAAATAATTTAATTAGTAAATAAGTTATGAATACTTAAACAAATATATAATTAAAAAAATTTCAATGTATTTAATAGTTTGTTCAAAACATACTGTTATATATTTTGTATGACATATGCGTAATGTATTTTAGATTATATTTTTCTATAATATCTGACAATAAAATCATTATTTATACAGTTCCGACATAATATAGAAATTTGACAAGAAGGTGACTTTAGTTATCTGGTTATGGGTCCACCTAGCTCTATAGTTCCAGTAAGCATTGTCGTTCATAGGTCTGTTGATGCAAGCGATGTCATCACTGCCACATCGTATAATGATCTGAATATTTCATCTGAAAATGCAGCATCCGCTAAGTTTTTCCCTGCTTTGGGAGCTTGGGCAAAACCTCTCCACTTCAAACCTCCGGCCACCCCTCCAGCACCAAGTACCCCTCGAGATTACAACCCAGCAATTTTTGGGAATCAGTTAGCAGCTCTTTGGCCACCTTTAAATGATGAGATCTTGAACAAAAAAACCAAAGAACAATCTTGCAACGAGTACTTTTAAGCCTCCAATTGAGAAGCTTCCACCTCCGGAGCTAAAAGCTGATGGCAAACTTCTATTTCCGTGGGCTACGAGATTGAGTCCTGAGTCACGGAATTTATATCGTGCAGCTTCTCCGACTTATAGACTTGATGGTACTCCCCAGATCTCTATTCCTTCGAAAGTTCTTAAGCTCGGTCCTGAGAATAAGGATGAGTATATCATAAGCAAGTTTCATAGGTGTTCTCTACCACCAGGTGGTTTGATTCATGTTGTGGCTAATAGATATTGGGGAAAAAGCTGTAAGATTAGTTGTAAGAAAGTCGGCGATTCAACCTACATGTTTCATATCCCACATGAGCCTACTCGCCATTGGGTAATTCAGCGGGGGATTTGGCATATTGACGATTGCTTGCTTTTTTTACTACCTTGGATTCCAGAAGACTCTTTTAAAATCACTGAAATGGACACCCTTCCAGTATGGGTTAATTTAAAGAACATCTTGGACTGTTGTTATTCTCGATTAGGGATTAGTCATATTGCTTCTGGACTTGGGGAATCCATCCTTACCCATAAACCTCGACTAGATCCTACCACTATGGGTGAAGCAAAAGTCTTGGTTGAGATGGAACTGGATAGAGATTTCCCAAAGATTATTGCACTTGATGATATACAAGGCAGCACTTTTCTTGTCGATGTGGAGTACAAATGGACTCCATCTACGTGTGAGAGGTGTGGTAATCTTGGCCACAAAGCCAAGAGATATCTCTTACCTTCTAAGCTAGAAAAGGATGATATAGTGCAGCCACAAAAAGATCATTGTAACGTCCTAGTTGTGGATATTGATGTTATCCTACAGGATAACAATTCTTCACTCACACCGTCACCAACTATCCAGTCAAGAGATTTACAAGTTAATGCAAATCTCTTGAGTTCTATTCCTAGTTTGGAGGCTGTTCATGAAGCTCCTATGGGCCAATCAGATGGTTCAGAGGTACAATATGAAGCAGGAAACACTATGTCCAAAACTTTATCACCTTCTTCTCACTCAGAACAAGAGAATCTCACTGATTCGACTGACTCGGTCACTACTTTACCCATATTAGTAGATTCACAATCTACTCCCACTGACACAAAGATTATGGAATTGTCTCCATCAAGCATTATCAACAATGAGGCCCTACCACCTTCCGTTGTTGATCCCTTAACCACTTCATCTAACCATTGTGCATTTGAGAGTCCTTCTCGGTTTACAGTGTTGGAAGTTGTGGATGAAGTTGAGATTGATCATTCTGGTTCGCTCAGCTTGACGAGAGGTGGGAGGGAATCAAAGCCTCCTATCAAGTACCAAAACATGGAATGGAATACAGCTTGAGGGAGAGGAAAGCGTGGCTGCCGCGGTCGAGGCTCTTCTCATTAGATATTGTTTTTCAATGCCATTGATGTTCTCTTGAGTTGCAAGCTTTTGATATTCATTGGCTTGGGATTCAATTTCTCATGAAGCTTGTTTCATGGAAACCTTTTCCAACTATAAGACCTTTGATCTTAGCTTGTAACGTTTTAAGTTTAATTTGAAAGCCTTTAATCAAAAAAAAATATAGAAATTTGACAACAAAATTATACATAAATGAAATACGTAGTTAGGTGCTTACTCATGTTCAAAAGAACTATGCATACCTACATATAAAAGAGTCGCACATAACTACATATCATGCTCTGAATTGCTCTGTTTTCTCTTCTATGTTCTGTGATTTGTCTTCCAGTTACCAAAAAAAAAAATTTATGTATATTTAAATTAGTGTTTTAATATTAGTGCATAAATTGTAATAAACACATCAAGTAATTATTATTTACAAAGTAAGACTTTAAATTAATAAAATCAATTACTACTATCAATAAAAGTTTAAATAGATTCAAAAGTTAAATATCACACATGGCTCATTGGTTTGATTACAAAACATAACCAGCTTCTTAGTTGTGACATGAACTTTCCGGTCAGGGTCTTAACTATAGTTACACCACAACCACGTCTATTTTCTGGTAATCAAACAAAAAGAAAACAGAGATTATCTCTGAAAGCAAATGAGTATTGTGTATAAGGAAACATGTCAAAATGATATTCTTGTCTTTTACCAAAAAAATGATATTCTTGTAATAATTTTACTGTGGATGTGCTAGTTGATGTGTTTAATGTTATTTTAACGTCGGATTAAAAAATTGCGGGTTGACTTAATATTAAATTAAGTTATACGGATACTTGAATACATAAGGAATTCATATAAGTTCATTAATGATTTGCCAATTTGGAAATTAGGTAGAGTCAAATGAAAAAAATAAAAAAATAAAGAAAGAGTACCTTCTGAAGCAAGCGAGCAGATCATAAAACAGAGAAGTTAGTTGCTCACCATGATTGTTCTTCGCATATTCCTCAAATGATGACAAACCTCTTTTTATAAGAAACGCTAACCAATATTTATGATGTCATATTATAAAATACCATCATATGACAATTGGAACACTGATTTGCGATAAATAATTTTGAGTAGCCCTCGGCAAAAAATCTGAAACCGAAAAAACTGAAACGGAACCGAACCGAAATATCTAAAACCAAAATCGGACCAAAATTCTTAAATATCTTAATTGGTTCCTATATTTCTATATCCGAAAAATCGAATTGGAAAGGAAACCGAACTGAGAACTGGACGGATACCCGAAAATCCCAAAAAACAAGTTAAATTTTTTTTAATATAAGATAAAATGACATCAAAGCCACTTGAACCCAAGTTAGATACAAAAAGTAAGTACATTTTTACCACCAGACCACATTATGTTTTATTTATTCTTTTATATTATCTATGTATATAGTATTTCTATATTAAAATACGATAAATATTTATAAAATTAACATTTTATCGATTTGAACTCTTGTTGGATTGATGAATATATAAGCGTGTAAACACTAGACCATTTAAAATAACCTATTAACTAATATATTCAATATATATATATATATATATATATTTTTGATTTATATATTAAACGGGTACTCGCAACCGAACTAAAATTGAACTGGAACCAAACTGAAACCGAACCGAAATCTTATAAATATTTATTGGGTATAAGAATAATTATCTGTTACATCTGAAATCAAATAGTTCCTATCCGGAACCGAATCGAATATTTGAATGCCCAATATTTGAATGCCCAGACCTATTTCTGAGCGTAATAAACAAAAACAAAGGTGTCTTTACGTGGATAATTCAGTGCACAGAATACAGAATCTATAATGGATTTCTGATAATGTAATATTTAAAACCTCCCACAAATTCCAATATCATATTCTTGCATATTTCATCCCACCGTGATCAGCTAATATTAGTTTAAAGATTGGAAGCACGATTATGAATAAGTAGTTACTCATATATCTTATCTCTCATGGCCCCATAAGTAACTCATTTGTTTTTTTTGTAAACGAAGTAATTACTCATTTGTGATGACTAATCTTTAAAATGATTAAATAAGATAAATAGAGAGAAAAAGCACCAACCCATCTACATAAAAGAAAGTAAAGGGGCTTCTCATCTCTTTCAGTTTCGACATTCCCCAGAATCTCTCTCCCCTTTTTGTCCCCAACCAAAAAACCTTAACGACCCTTTCTTCATCGTGAAACAGAGCATAACTACATAAGACAGAGCACAATAGAGACGTTAGACACTCTGTCTAAATCCTCTGTTTGATCCATAAGTAAGTTGACTCCATTATTCTTCTTTTGATATTTCTTATGTGGTTACGGTTGCAATTTCCAAAAACGAAATGATTTTTTTCTTTTGATAATTGACTCTGTTTTTTCTAACATGAAAATGATGATCGTCTCTCATGCTCTATGTTTCTTAATGGTTTTGTTGGAAGATCGATGGAAACTGGTGTAGCAGTTACGGGTCAAGAAATCGGACCCGTTAATCCTGATGGGTACGTGACGATCGATATGGAAAGTTTCTCTCATGTTATCCACAAAGACTTTTCATCTTCGAGTCCCAAAGTTACTGTAAGTTCCTTTTTATTGTTATTAATTTCTCTTTCGAAATTATTCTCGTTAACTCAATTATTGAGTATTGTATTATGATTTTAATTGAATTATTTTTAAAAAATGATTTTTTTTCTCAAGCTGCAGAGAAGTGTTTCGAGGAAAGGGTCTCCAAGAAGCAACAACGAGAGGAAACTCCATTCTAACGCAAATTGTAATGACAAAGAGACCTCATCCCCTCAGTCTCCACTTAGAGGTAAAAAGCTTCGAATTCAATAATTTAGTTAATATATACATGTCGCCTTTTCTTTTAAAAAGTACTATATATTCTTTATATATACATCATTTCCTTTAATACATGATACATCGAATAGTTTTCAAATAAAGTAGACATTAACAGGGATGGTTTCATTACACGAATATGGGACGTATGCATTTTCTGTAGCCCAATAATACATTTGTTTCTTTCTTGATTCTTTTGTTACCATCTGGTGGAAGTATATTACGTAATAGTATCAAATGGACCTAACAGATTCTTGTAATATATTGTATTTGGGGCTATCTGCGAGTGTGAGTCATTTTTGAAAGATCATAATAATGTGGGGAGCTCTGTTATTTTATGCGGTTAGATATTTTTTTTGGGAAATGTCAATCTTTGTGAAATGGTTTTGGATACTTCTATAGATTTTAATCTAATACAAAAGGTTCGGTTTGCCTAATCTAACGTAAAGTTAAATATTAATCCACTGGTTATTTAAAAAAAATTCCACTGGTTATTTTCCTCTTAAATGTATAAATTACAAAATGTAAGGTGGGCTAACGTGACTAACCCATGCGTTTTCAGCTGTAGACCGTAACTAAGATTTATCTTTTAAAATATTTTTGAGAAAAGTTCATCAATTATCCTTTTCGTTTTAGAACATTTGCGATACATCTTACGAACTTTTTTCTGTAACAAAAAGCATAACTAATAAGATAATAGGAAACACCCTAGTGTTTTACTTTCATCTCGATTTCTCAATTTGAATTTTTATTTGCGTTAGCATTACTGCCATTACATAGCTTTATGCAGACCACAACAGAAACCATAACTTTATTTATAAAGTTTTTGTTCTCCTGCACCGCATGCTCACTCATACTATATTATTAAACTCGGCATACAATGAATACGTTATGATTCAGTTTATTTTGTCTTCTCAAATAAAGAAAAAGAATCATTATTCATTGTTTTTTAATTAAAGCTTATTGTATATGGTATTTGATGAGTTGTAGGATCAAGCACGCCGGAAAAGCCGACCACTGTGGGGCCCTTAGATCAGGCAGGCATGGCCCCGACCGCAGCCACCGTCGTTTCATCCTCGCCCCTTCATCAGATCACCATTACTACAACTGCAGCCACCGTCGGAAATATGATCTCCGACCAAAATAGAGAAAGAAGATTTGGATTTTCAAAGAAGTCGAGTTTTAAACGTTCTCGCACTTCTTGGATGCTTGATCCGAAGAAAATCGTAATATTATTTGCAACTTTGTAAGTATTTACCACTTTTTCGATATAATTTATTTATTTTATTAATTATATTAATTTATAGAATACACAATGTATAACTCAAACGGCAAACATCTATAATTATTTACGAGAAAGAACTATATCTAATACTAGGATTAAACTAACTGTAGTAGTAATTGAGGTTAGGCATTTATTTAAATTTAACTGGCTAAGATAAATAAATACATATAAATATCTAAAATATTAAAACTGAAGTACACTTAATACTTAGCCCTTACCTTTGCACAAAAATTACCACACAATGCCACTACCATTAAACACATCTTTTACCCTTTTTTTATAAACCAAAATTAATGTTTTCGTTATAACTAACCGTAAAAAGACAAACCAATTAGAAACCACATGATTTCAATTTCTTACGTGTCATTAACCACCGACATAAATTGGTATGTTACCTTAAGACATCTTCGTCTACTGGATCAAATGAGCCCATAGAGACTTCACGACCATAGCTTTTCATAATTTATATAACATCAAATTCCATTGTCATAATTATTTGGTTTCTCTTCCTCTGCACAATCCAAACCACTATATTACATATGAGCAAGTCCATTTTATTGCTGGTTCAATGAAACTTAAAAATATCATTATTTAGATTATAAGTTTTATCGTTACTAAACGAAATTTTGTTATTCAAAATCAATCTAATTAAACCAATATAACAAAATCACCATAACAGTTAAGATATCCAAAATATAATTTTTTGTTTCTTATCTTGAAAATCAAGTTTACTAATCTAATCATTAAATTACCTGAATTCGTGTGATTTTCTTAACTTTGTAATAAACAAATCAATTTATTAAAAAAAACCATTCATGTTAAGTTAATAATAGTATATTTTTATAGAATAAAAATAAGAAATATCAGTAATCTATAATACTATTAAATAGCTAATATATTAGCATACATATTTTTCAACAAAACAAAAGTATTTTTTTTTAATTTTTGATAAAAAGCAAAAGTAATTTTGACTTAAAACAAAATATTAAATTNAATTTATTAAAAAAAACCATTCATGTTAAGTTAATAATAGTATATTTTTATAGAATAAAAATAAGAAATATCAGTAATCTATAATACTATTAAATAGCTAATATATTAGCATACATATTTTTCAACAAAACAAAAGTATTTTTTTTTAATTTTTGATAAAAAGCAAAAGTAATTTTGACTTAAAACAAAATATTAAATTATTAAAATCAACATTTTTAGTATGGGGATCATATCAATTAAATAAATTATGTATATTATTAATTATATTACATAATTTACATATAATTATATCGCTATATTTTAGTTAATCGGTTTATTCGGTTTGATCAATTTATATACCAAACCATATCCATATACCGCGGTTTCTTAAAAATGACATATATTTGGTATATTCGGTACTACCAAATCCAAACTGTTTTCTCTATTCTGGTTCAGTTCGTTTTTAATTGTTCCGGTTTTATCGGATTAAACACCCATAAACATGACACACCAATGTTAATCTTAAGTAACATATGAATCTATAACATAAAAAATATAATTAATTAAATTTATCGCATTTTCAAAAGTAAAAAAAATATAATTATGAAGAATAAACACCTGCGCGGGTGCGCGGGTCAAAAGCTAGTATTAAATTATGAGTAGTGTACGGCATGCTAGTGAAAATCGAAGTATTTATCACAAGTTAATAAGTAAAGTTGGTTTTGACGAATTATGTATATTGATGGAATGTTTAATCTTTGTGACAGGTCAAGCATGGGATCAATCTTGTTAATCATATTTACTCTCTCGATCAGCAAGTCTAATTCCGGAGAAATGCCCTAGATTAATAGTAACAAAACATGAAGAAGATATAGACCGACTTCAGTTTGTGGATATAGAACATGCCAACATTCTTACGACCTACATCTGAGGAGGATGAATCAGAAGAACATTACAAACAAAGAGCGTAAGGCTGTAATAATAATTATTTTGTATATTTTTTATTAGGAAAAAAGAAAAGAAGTTGGTAATGGGCACACACGAGATCATATGAAGATTGGAAAAAGAAAGCTTTAAGATAAGAGTTTATGACTGTTGTGACGAAGACAGAGCTGGAATCTTCTCTCTTGTTCCTTTTTGCTCTCTTTCTCTGTTTTTTTTTTTCACATTCACTTGGTCTAAGTTTGTTCCTTTTTGTTCCTTTTTGCTCTCTTTCTCTGGTTTAAGTTTGTGTTTTCATTATGGTGTATTTCTTTATATATGTATATATATCAAAAATTTCCTCTGGGGTTTTAAATTTTTCTTTCAGTTATTACTTTTCGAACATATGGACCATCTTATCAAATAGCACCTACACAAGCGTGGATCATTTATAAGTTACCACATGCTATTCACCTAAGCTACTACCATATTTAGATGTCTTCAAGTATTTTGATCATAAAGTAACATCTCCCTTTCATAGACTAAATTGCAAGAATACAACAAATTTTGAATTGTGTTGATAACAACCAAAGATGAAACGTGGTTTAAAAAAGTTTGATGTTGAAATGTTGCCAAACAAATCGAAAACACCTATACAAGTTGTAACGTGGAATTTTAGAGTATGAAATGGAGTACGCAATTGGGAGTATGGATATTTGCTGTTGTTAATCAATCACAACTGAGAGAGTGAAAATTCAGCTCTAGAGAGAATATAATATTTGGACCAATTGGGTTAATTTCATATCATTTGTTTCAGTAGTCTAAACAGTGATGTATCATTGGTCAAACCAAAACTAAATTTTCTTGCCTAACCAGTCTGCCCAAACTACACTGTTAATTGCTAGAGTTCATATTACTAACATGCATATATAATAATTCACTGTTTCCTCATGTTATGATACAATCCAAACATGTTTTATATACAACATCATTGAATGTAATAGTAGCTAAATAAGATATAACTTTAACCAACAGAAAACATGATACACACATAATTCTCATATTTGATTAATTTAGTGCGTGTGTGAATAGTAGAAGATGAAATTTCTTACAGCTATTACATATACAAGAATAGGTAATTAATCTACTTCTTATTTTGATAAAATAAATTTTAAAACTATCACATAATTTACTTATTTCTTATGTTAACATTTTTTTGTGAAAAGAATAATGACTCAATTATCTCCAACTTGGGCTCGCATCTTATATATTAAAAGAGAAGTCATGACTTCACTTCATGTGTGATATTTTAAAATGGACCATCTAATAGAATTTATAACATTACATTATTCAATCATTAATAACATTTATTAGATTCATTAATAACATTTATTGCGCTTACTAGAAATTTTTATTGGGCTAATAAAAATTAGATGATCCATTGGATTTATAGATATTATAATAAAATACATGTTTAAATTAAACTTATATAATTTAATATTGTAATAGTATAAGTTAATTATTTATATATTTTTATGTTAACTTTAAAAATATATAATTTATTTTTAAAAATAACAAAATCATCATTTTCTAACAATAATCAATCTATACTATATAATAATTAATCATCAGTTTCTATATACACACCTTATATAATATATACCAATTTAGAAGTAAAAAAATATTTATATAAAAATAAATGAAAATAAATACCCGCGCGGTTGCGCTGGTTGAGATCTAGTATACATTTATTTGAGTTATTAACACTCAAAGGCAGTTTTCAAGATTTTATTACACTATAGAGAACTTTGTGCTACTAGGGTAGTTTTCAGGCTAGTATACATTTATTTGAGTTATTAACACTCAAAGACAGTTTTCAAGATTTTATTACACTATAGAGCACTTTGTGCTACTAGGGTAGTTTTTGATGGTTAATTTCAACACTAACCCCAACTATAAGAAACCTAGTTGTTGATTTAGTTACTTTCTACAAATTTTGTTTTTTGTGTATTTGAATTTAAAAAATCTAAATGAATCAGATCTACTCTTTTTAAATTGTAACTATTAAATTATAGGAGGTGATGGAGGTTATAGGACACAAGATCTACTCTTTTTTTTGGTTTGTAGGTTATAAAACTCAAGAGAAATATGTTATACGGAGGTGATAGAGCATCCGTAAAAAACGTGTCCGACCCTAAATCGTGAGTTCTATTCCATCGTGGTTGGGACTAGAGTTGTGGCCGCAAGAATCGCCGTGATTTCAGTCGTGGAGCACTGGATACTCAAGAGAGAAAACGTGGTGGAGCAGCCGGAGAGCTCCGTTGTCCGTGAACTCAAACTCAAAATTCCGACAAATCACTACCGTAATACGCTTCAAGGTCAAGTCTCCTTCTCGCCGTGGTCTTCATACTCAGGACATGAGTTGTGGCCACCGGAATCTTCATGGCTTCAGTTGCAGATCAAAGAAAAAAGCTTGATAGGAACAACATTGGAGAATTTTTGATTATTTGCAACTATGGTCCTCCAATTATTTCTTATTTTCCATTTTGTCTGAAATTTTTAATTAGTTCAATTTTTTATGAGTTTTCCCCGTGACTTTTAATTTTACAATATAGACCAACCAAATATTTTTTTTTTTTTGCATCATTAGTCTCTATCGTATTATTTTATTTTGTTTATGTCCCATATGTTTTTGACTTGCAAATAAACATTTTTCATTTGAACCTAAATAAATAAGCTAAATGAGATGCTAAATATAATTAAAAACTAAATATCCTTAAAACGATAACATTGGAGTACAGACATTTATTGTATACATTGTTTTTGTGATATATGTATATAGTCATATATACATGACATTATGTACACGTAATTTACTATCCATATGTACAATCATTTATATGTACACCCGTCCATTTAGGAAAATGATTCACATGTACACACTATAAAGCACATCGTCAAAAACCAAATATAATATTTTGACGAAAACCATAAATCTTAATTTGCATCTTAAAACAAAATCCAATTTTGTGCTTAGAAAATGAAAAATGCTTATTTTAGCTAAAACTGTAA